ATTGCTCAGAATATTGTGAATATGATCAAGTTTAGACTTATGTTTATTAAAAACCTGAAGAGACACTCTAATGATGATTGGTTTCTGGTTACTTGGAGATTACCTGGGTCCATTCTCAAAAATAGGGCTAATTAATCTTTTGTTTACATGGTTTTGTTATTTTGATGTGTTGTTTTCCCTTTTGCAGTAATCGTAATTTCCCGGAGCTTGCTCATCTTGGAATAACAGGTATGAGCTTTATATTAAGGGTTGAGTGTTTGTGAGCATAGATTGATTGATATTTTCTATGCATGTTGTTTTCTATGTAGGTTGCCAGGCTGGTCTGTATCTAGGGATGGAGGGTTGAGTATTTGTGAGCATACATTTAGGTTTATGAGTGAGTATGAAAGATTGAGGGTTGAAGGTTGTGAGCATCTATACATTTATTATAACTATTTTCATGTAGGTTTGTTTGGTTGTTACATATGTTAAGGAGTTTATTGTTGAGGGTCTTGTGATGAGAGCCTTAAATTTCTTGGAGTGGTTTTATCCATGTATTTTGATCTTGCATTAACTTGCTCCTTTGCTGAGTGTGAGTACATCTGTGGGTTGAGTGGTTTAGATCATATACTTTGTGAGACTTGTATTGCAAGTTGGAGTGTGTTGATCCTGTCTACTCACCCTTTGGAGTATTGATTATGTCTATATCCTCAGGTTTTGTTGATCAATGTGAAGGCAAAGTGAAGATGGCCCTCTCAGGTTTTGCTTATCAAATTGGTGATAGAATGAAGGATGGGGTCAGAAGGTCAAGGTTGCAATCATGCACTAGTCCTATTGCTTTTCCTCTAGATGGAAAGTTATTTTTTTTAAATTTATGTTGTATCCCTTTTCTAGTTGCCTAATCATGCGAGTTGTGCATGAGCTTCTCTTTCTTGTTTTGGTTGGTTGTTTTGGGTAATATTGCTCTTCAGTTAAAGATGCTGCTTCTAATACTCTGTTGCCTCTTATATGGTTCTAGTATTGCAAGATTTTTCTTGTCTACATGTTATAACTGAAGTTGCTGGATGTGCATAGTGTAGGAGTTTTATTTTTATAGGACTTAGTCTCTTGCATGTGTTCAAAGTCCATTTTATTTGTGAAGAGGGCCCATGAGCATAGCTTTATTTTCCTATACCCTTTTGTTTTAGTAGGTTGTCCTTTGTGGTTAGTGCTTAGCTTGTTTCCTGTTTTGTCTTTTTTAGGTTGTTTTGTTGTCTTGTTTTGCTTTGTGTAGTTTTGTTAGGGCCTGGGGTATTCACCTTGTCATCCTGTATAGTTTTTTTTAGTTTTAATTTTTTTTTATTTTAGGACTTATTCACCAAAAAAAAAAAAAAAAAAGTTTCAAAGCTTCAAAGGTAGGAAAAGAAAGTAGGAGCTTTTTTAAGTAAGAGTGAGAGTGAGCATGTAAGTAGTAGCTTCTTTGAGCCATTATCTCAGGCTTGGGCTCTATTTTGGTTATTTACTGTAGCTTCTTCGTGTGAATCTTTGAGTGAAAACTGGAAAATGGAGGAATAAGGTGTTGATTGTGCTTCTTTTCTTCATCTCTGTGTGATTGAGAGTAGATGAAGAAGGTGTGTGTAGTTATGAAGGTCGTTGGGTTCTCAATATGTTCTGATTTTACATGTTTTGGAATTTGAGGTGAGACTAAGCTAAGCTAGGTTGGACTAGTCTTCTTGTCCAATTCTGGTCAAATCTGTTTGGTTATTGATTTAGGCCATCGGTAAGAATGATGGAGAATATCGCTGGTGGGGATAAAGTTTTGAGCATAAAATAGGGGTTAAGTTCACATGCCATTAGCGATTGGCCGCTAAATTCCTATTTTCGCACAAAATTTTGTCTTTTATCAGTGGGCTGCTAGTTCAGCTTAATAAATTTGTGGGTTTGAGTTGTGGTAGTGGTTAGGTTTGCATAAACTCGGTAAGGCTTTGCTAGGCTGTTAATAGGTTCGGTGATACTGGATTGTGGAGCCACCTATTTTCAACAATGGTTGTAAGGCTGGTTGAGGAGATAGAGTGTAGTTCACGTGTACCATTGGGCGCGTCTTATGCTGGTTAGGTTTTGCCAAAATTGTTGTAGATTGCTGACTATCACATGGGTTTGTCTTAGAAGGAAATTCAAACAACCAATTTTTTGGGGTTGTATTTAGGCCTATTTTGACAAGTTGGTTAAATATATGAGGTACAAGATGCTTATTGGCTCCATGTTTTCATTTGTGGTAGAGATTGGGAGTATGTGAGGGTGGTTATCATATTTTGATTGGTCTTGGTGGATGTTGTAGCTTCTTTTATCTTGTTTTAGTATGTGTATCTTTAGGTGCTTTTTAGTTTTATGTGGTTTCATTATTTGTTTACTTGCCCATACATCTTCCCTAAGTTCCTATTTATTATCCTTTGATGGTAGGGGCAACTTGGGGATAGAAAAGATATATGGGCAAATGTGTTGGTGTATCGTTACTGTTTTGGTAAGAATCCATTTTGTTACCGTTGCTTATGTATTGCTCCTAGTTTCTTTGTCTTCATCACAGATGGCATAAGTAACTAGTGGCAAAAATATATTAGGAACACTTTATGATTGTATTTTGGTTTTGTACATCTCCCCCTATCTTAGGGATGGTGCTGTAGAATATTGTTTGGATCATAGGAATAGCCTAGGGTATACCCCTTGTAAACATGTATATTTCATTATTATATTTTATGACTTACCTACACACAAAAAAAAAAAAAAAAATGCTTCAAAGGTATAGAAGGATCTATTGAAGTTTAGATCAAACAATTTTGAGTATATGCAATTGTTATCAACTAGTTTGGTAGTAAATGTTAATTTAGGTTCATCAACATCACTCTACATGATTCATGGATGGGGAATATGCCTTTGAAATAGGTCTTTCCAAGCTCTTTTATTTATTTATTTATTTATTTTTATTTTCTTATCCAGAAAGAACGGTTTGGTTTGTGGGGTTTGGGGTTTCGACAATTTTAGTTAGTATATATGTGTAGAATTTAATGTTTTTAAGAAAAAAATTTTGTTTGGAAGGAAGACTTGCACAAGAGAATGATTGAAACGCTCAAGCATGTATCATTATAATCAAAAGATGGAGTTGAATAAAGGTGGATTGTTCTAAGTGAAATCTTTTTATTAGAAATATGAGCAGGTAATTAATAATTCAAAATGTAATGGTTATGA